CTGGATAAGGTCCCGCATACTATTTGTGTGTTCCTCTCTTGATGGTCCTAGGGTCCTCTGTTTCTGGACTGTAAGATTAACCACTCCCCCTTTTTTTCGCCTCCTAGTGATTCCTGAGTATAAACAGAAGCATCATCTTAGGGAAATAAATCAAGCTCAGACCTGACCTGCACTGACAACGCTGAAACAAATTTCCTCTTTGCATCTACTCTGAGGCTTACCTTTCAAAACAGAAGTTCATCTTGTCCAGCAAAAAGTGAGTTATTTGCTTTTTCATAACATTAACACCAATGATCCTCAATTGCCGACAATAGAAAGAATGAGTTGGCAAAGATGAAGTAAATTGGACAGGAGATTTAAATAGTAACTTGAAAAAGTAGTAACTGCACCTAGAAAGGAGTTCTGATAAGCACTGGACTCCTAACTGCAAAGTTGGAATTTCAAACCCACCAGCTGCTCCTTGGAAACCCAATACAGGGTCACTATGAGTTGGAACCAACTTCATGGCACTTAACAACAATAATCCTAGAACAGTGGAGTCCAGGTGGTTCTAACATAATGGTTGGCAGTTCAGACCTATGAAGTGGCTTCACAGATGACAAGGTCTAGTGATCTGCTTTCCCAAAGATTACAGTCAACTCCTGGGCTCAGGGACAGGGACATAGCCACAGAGGACTAGAGCAGATGGTGAAGCGCCCAGTTAATATGAAGTGAGGGGAGATGCACAAGAAGACCCATACTTGCAGACAGTACCCATTTGACCTAGCTTCAATGGCTGGATGATCAGAACTTGACTAGAGGAAGACAAACGAGGGAAAAAAAGTGTAATCCACTACAATTTGATGAACTTGACCTATACTTATGGATGTAGTAGCTTAAAAGAAGGAATGCATCTTTACAGCAAGGATTATTCCCACCTCCTTGGTACACAGGGTTGACAAGGATGGGCAACTTAGACATTGACTACCCAAAATGGGGGGCAGGCTACAAAGTCAAGGAGGGAGCCTTGTTCCAGAGGGTGTGGGGGAAGGTAGAATCTCCACTGAGTGCCTTCCAATCTGTCTGGACTGGGCTGTTGAAAGGAGATGGGGATAGGACTTTTGTGGTTCAATAGTGAATAATTGCTATTAGGACTGATTGTGAATGTTGCAAATATAAAGGAAGATGTTTTGTAACAAAAGGAGGGGAGTGGTTGATCTTGCAGTCCAGGAGCAGAGGACCCTGGGACCATCAAGGGAGAAGAGCGGAGTGCAGGACCCATCCAGAGAAGCGGCAATGCCAGAGATGGAAGCAGAGACGATGATGTGGAGAGATGGAGTGGATGGGGACTCTAGACTCAGGGAGGGAGAGGGGCTGTGTGCTGATGTCTCGGGGGTTGGCATGCAGGGTATACCCTTTGGTTGTGTGAATGGTAATATATTCCTGAGTGCTTCTGTGTACATAAAAAAACAATCAATCAAAAACAAATAGAGGGAATGGAAGCAAATGCTACTGAATGATGATGCATAGAGGGGATTGTAATCATTGCAATGAAATGACACGTAATAAAATAAACGTAAAGCTGATGTTCTCTCATGTGAACTATCATTCAATTCACAATAAAAAAAAGATTACAGTCAAGAAAATCCTATGGAACAGTTCTACTCTGTAATACATATGGGACTGTTTGGGTTGGGAGCCAACTCAATGGCACCTCACAACAAATCAGAAAACAAGACTTCCTTCCTTTTGGGAGCAACACAAAGATGATTAATTAGATCAGTGAAGAAATATAAATCGTCCATGCATTTAGATTTAAAACACATGGTTTCCATTCTTGCAGGAATACTTTCTGGACTCCGCTCCATCATGAAGTCACAAAAGGACGAGGGCAGATAAACCAATGGGGAATTAGTGAGAGATCTACTCCTTTATTTTATAAGAAATCTGAGGCTCCCATAGGTTAAGGCTGATGAGAGGCAAAGCCAAGGGTCAGTATGAGACTCCTGGTGCTCTCCATCTTATAGCCTGGAGAGAAGATGCTAGAAATCCTCTTATGCTCTTTTTTTTTCAACCATAGAACCCAACTTCTATGTGCAATGGGATCCCAGAGTTTTAGATCCATGGTTCATGATCTCTGTGTCTCTTCCTCCACCGTACTCACCCAAAGTAAAGTCACACAAAGGGAGGGGAGTGATTAACTTTGCAGTCTAGGGATGGAGGTCCCTGGGACCATCAAGGGAGAAGAGCGGAGAACAGAACCCTACCCAGAAAAGCAGTGATGCCAGAGATGGAGGCAGAGATGATGATGTGGAGCGATGGAGCGACTGGGGACTTTAGACCCAGAGAGGGAGAGGGGCTGTGTGCAGATGACTGTGGAGGGGGGAGGCAGGCTTGCGGGGTATACCCTTTGGTTGATGGATGATGCATGGAAGGGATTATAAACCATGGCAAGGAAAGGCTATACGACGGGGGTCAATGTGAAGCTAATGTCCTCCCATGTAAACTATCACATAATTCACAATAAAGCATTACAAAAGTAAATAAATAAAAATGTAAAGCCATAATATTCTGATACTTTTGAGGTCTAATTATTTGATTTTGTTTCTTGCAGATGGCTTACTTGAAGATGAGATGTATGTACATTTTCCTTTTGGTTCTGGGGGCCCTTTGTTTATATGTCAGCATGTACAGCCTGACTCCTTTTAAAGAAGAGCAGTTTGTTTTTAAGAAAGAAAGTGGGAACTTTCTTCAGCTCCCAGAAATAGACTGCACCCAGAATCCTCCCTTTCTTGTTCTACTGGTGACTTCCTCACACAGACAGGTGGCTGCCAGGATGGCCATCAGGCAGACTTGGGGGAGAGAAAGGGTTGTGAAAGAAAAACAAATAAAAGCCTTCTTTCTCCTGGGAACCACAACCAAAGAGTATGAAATGACAGCAGTGAGCCAGGAAGGCCAGCAGCACCGAGACATTATTCAGAAGGACTTTGTGGATGTCTACTTCAATTTGACTCTGAAGACCATGATGGGCATGGAATGGATCCACCACTTCTGCCCCCAGGCCACCTTTGTGATGAAGACAGACTCGGACATGTTTATAAACGTCTACTATCTGGTCGAACTACTTCTAAAGAAAAACAAAACGAGTAGGTTTTTCACTGGCTTCTTGAAGATGAATGAATACCCAATTCGAAAAATATTCAGTAAGTGGTTCGTCAGCAAATACGAGTACCCATGGGAAAGGTACCCGCCCTTTTGCTCCGGCACTGGGTATGTTTTTTCTAGTGATGTTGCAAGTCAGGTGTATAATGTTTCCGAGAGCGTGCCCTTCATTAAATTAGAAGACGTATTTGTGGGACTCTGCCTGGCCAAACTGAACATCAAGCTGGAGGAACTGCACTCGGAGCAGACATTTTTCCCTGAAGGGTTACGTTTTTCCACGTGTCGTTTTAAGAAAATTGTGGCCAGTCATTTTATTAAGCCTCCAGAAATGTTGACCTACTGGCACGCTCTTGAGAATTTATCGGACGATAAGTGCCCAGTTGTCTGAGGTGAGCATGAGAGCACATCTGGACAAACACAATTGTTGTTGTAGAAAACTGCATTGATGAGAGTCATAGAGTGAAGGAACTTGGGGGGAGAAGAGCAAGGTGACAACCTCCTGTGCTCCAGGTCCAAGTGTAAATGTGACTGCTCATTAATTGTCTCTCATGCCACAAGCTCTAGCTAGTAGCTTCTTTTGAGGACTTCACATCTTATTTCAATGACCCAGTATTCCAACAAGGTAGGAGCATTATCACCCCCATTTTTACACATGAGAAAATTTTTACATGGGGTAACTGCATCAGAGAGGCACAGTCACTTGTCCCAAGGCTCCTTGCAAACAAAGAATGGAGCAGGAGGAAACAACCAAGCCATATCAAGATCCAGTTGACAGCCCGAACTCTCTGTGCTTCTCCCTTGGGAATAATGTGAGCACTAAAGCTTCCAAAGAAGTTCTGTTCTCTCCATCAATCTCTTCCTAAGTCTCCTTCCTGACTCTCAATCCTTGTGCTTTCATACAATGGTAAAGTTGCACAAACTCACCCCCAGCATCTCATGCTCTGGATGGGTCTGGCTTGACTATCTGTGTTAATAGCTTGACACATGCCCCAGAGCCATACCCCAGAAGATATCAGTGCACTGGCAACAGCTCCTTATAGGAAATGTCTTACCCCCAACAAAAATCAGTTTTTATAAATTGGTCTCAGAAATCCATGCAGACCCAGAAGGTGTCAGATTGCTCGACTGCTTTGTTCATCTTCTGAACGAGCAGAACATTTTCTCAGAGTCGACTGTGGGCCTCCACCTATTTTTCTCAGAAGCCCTTGGTCTTTGATCACTGGGGACCAGCTGTAGCCCTTATAGGAGCTCTTTCAGTATCTCAGTTCAAATAAAAGAGGAACTGAGTTTAAAGCTTGGTCTGTGCAGGATTCTGGGAGCTTTCTTATGCTTCAGTTGGGTTTCCATCAAGGAACTCTGAAAAAGCAAGGCAATGGACTGGACTCTGGTTTGGGAAATCTTCCCAGCTTGACTCAAATTCATCTTGTCTGGATTTTTCAGGTGTACAAGGAACAATTGAGGTTTATGGTTTTCTTGTCACTGGTAGTTTCCAAGAGCCTGTTGTGTACAGAATGAAGTAAAGAGGCCCTTCTTTCCAAGGGCCTTTGTCTCCTCTCGCCACCTTCACTCACACTGTGGATCATACTACATTGAAAGTCACCTTAGAACATGTAAAGCCACCTGGCCAGAGGATTGATTATTTTCCAGTTTTGCTTTACCTGATACAATAAGCACCCAAAGCAAAGACCTCACACGGCTGGACCACTTATATATGCTGGACAAATTTCTCCCTTGAACTCAGGAACAGATTGCTTGCTACAAAATGAGGAAGGCAATGTTAAACTACAAAATGAGGTCTGGCGTAGTATTTTGCATGGCATTTCTCACGTCTTAATTGAGCTGTTTCTGTGCAGATATGTTTACTCATCTGGCTGCTTTGAATGCTTAGCCCTGTTCAGAAAAAACTCCTTCTCAGGTTGCAAACACATGCTCTTAGCTCGTGTTTTGAAACCAGTGTTTCATAAGAGTTATACCCCTTAGTTTCCTGGGGTGGGTGACTCTGATTCCAAAGATGATAGTGTTTTTGAGGGTGAGGGACCTTAATCTGGTTCTGGGTGAGGGTCTGTGATGGTTGGCCACCTTGTCAGGTATGTATCTGTATAGCTAGGGGTGGGACTGTGGCTGAGGCAGCCTGGGAGATGAATCTGGGTCCATCCTCCCGATCTGGCCTCCGAGGTATTAACCTGCAGCCCTGGGTTACAGGGACACAAATGCAGCCTCTGCTAAAAGATTCTTTTCTTGCATGGTTTTCTGCAAAACTCATTTTGTTTCCCATGACAATCTCTCTACACAACAAAGAAAAAAACAAAAAAGGAGCTCTGGTAGCATAGTGGTTACAAGTTGGGTTGGTAACCTCAAGGTCAGCAGTTCAAAACTATTAGCCATTGCATGGAAGAAAGATAGGCTTTCTGCTCCTGTAAAGATTTACAGTCTCAGAAACCCTATGCAGGGTTGCGATGAGTTGGAACCGACTCCATGGAATACCACCACCAGGTTAAAAAATTGATATATTCTGTAATAATCACAACATGAAGGGGCCTTAAAGCACATTCAGTCCAGCCTCCCATGATTAGATCAGAGAGGCCCAGAGACTAGTCCAAGAGGTCACAGCTAGTCTGTAGTGGAATCCAGATCCTAGCCTAGTATGTGCTCTATTACATCATCTTGCCTAGACACAAGGGTTGTTTGTTGTTAAGTTCTGTTGAGTCGGTTCCGACTCATAGTTACCCAATATAGGGTTCCCTAGGAACGACTGGTGAGTTTGAACCACCGACCTTGTGGTTCAAACCGACCATGCGGACCTGTGTTTATCCTACAGCGCCAAGTAAAGCAATGCTTTACCAAGAACACACAGTGCTCAAGATGTGCCTGAGAGGAGCCCGGGCTGCTGGTTGTTGGCACAGTAGCTTTATTCACAGCCTCCAGAAGAGGAAGGATTTGATATCATAAAGTATCATAAGAGCTTTCCCTGTATTAATTCATTTAAATGTTCACAGCGACTCAATGGGGGAGGTTTCTGCCAATGTCTCCGATTTACAGATTAAGAAACTGAAGTAGAGAAGGAATTTGGGCAACTTGTAAAAATGAGATGCAAGCCCAAGCTGTTGTACATGTTTATAGCATTTGGTCCTCTGGTCACCAGACCTTCAGCTAGTCTCCCGCACCCCAGTATTTCAGGGGAACTTCAGGGCTCAGGGCACTGGCCTCACAGACTGCATTTCTGGGCACTTTCACAGCCTCCCATCCCTGTCTCTGAGCCTCTGTGTTCTCTCTCCCTCCGTGACTGTAGAAATCCCCATAAGCATGCCCTCCACTTAAAGTTGATTCCCAGCCCTTCTTGTGCCCCCAAGGGCACAGTTCCCACACTCATCCTGCTCTCTTTGGGTCATTCCCATAAGCACTCAAGCTCACTGTTTTTCCATCTAATAAAAAAAGCCAACAGTCTTCCCTTGACTTCCCGTCCTCCTCCAGCTACTGCCCCATTTCTTGGCTTCCTTTGCAGTTAAATTTCACAAGGGAATTTTATCTT